ACCTCCCCCCCCCCCCCCCCCAATAAATAAATAAAATAAAATAAAAATAATTGTAGTCTCTCTTTGCCCCAGACATAAAAGTTATACTAGTAATTATATTTAATTTAGTACTTTCACAAGAAAAGAGACAATGTCACAAACACGATAGAAAAGTCCAAAATGTTTGATATAATGCATATGATAATATCCTCCTCCATCCATGGAGGAGGATGGTTCACATGTCATCTGTGGCGCTCCAACGTTCCAAGGACTAAGGGACAAGAGGATGAGGATGAGGATATGATAATAAAGACTAGTTTAGAAGGCTTTTTGTGACGGCACTGGGTGGCCAGAGTCTTAAGTGATGTTCAAAGGCGGCACTACCAGTTTGGTATAATAGGATTGTTCAACTTCCAACTTCCGTGTCATGTAGTAGGCCTAAATGTAATGTAATGTCATTTATATCACGGTACACGTGTCACCCTTTTCAAACATTTCCTTCAAGTAAACACAATTTTGTCCTCCGTAGTCAAAGGAGTTGAACCTGTCAACATTTTTTCTTTACCCACGTGAACTTGTTGAGAGAAGTCTTGAAGTATTTCATTTTATTCAAGTTAGAATAGCGAAGTTAAAAAAAAAAAAAATTTCGTACAGGCTCGTGTTCTTCAATTTGTGGGCCCGGCCCCGCATGCGACTCTTTAAAGTCTCTAGCCAGTGCGGCTCTTTACAGTAGCCAGTGCGGCTCTTACAGTAGCCAGTGCGGCTCTTACAGTAGCCAGTGCGGCTCTTTACAGTAGCCAGTGCGGCGCTTTACAGTAGCCAGTGCGGCTCTTTACAGTAGCCAGTGCGGCTCTTTACAGTAGCCAGTGCGGCTCTTACAGTAGCCAGTGCGGCTCTTTACAGTAGCCAGTGCGGCTCTTTACAGTAGCCAGCGCGGCTCTTTACAGTAGCCAGTGCGGCTCTTACAGTAGCCAGTGCGGCTCTTTACAGTAGCCAGTGCGGCTCTTTACAGTAGCCAGTGCGGCTCTTACAGTAGCCAGTGCGGCTCTTACTGTAGCCAGTGCGGCTCTTTACAGTAGCCAGTGCGGCTCTTTACAGTAGCCAGTGAGGCTCTTTACAGTAGCCAGTGCGGCTCTTAACAGTAGCCAGTGCGGCTCTTTACAGTAGCCAGTGCGGCTCTTTACAGTAGCCAGTGCGGCTCTTTACAGTAGCAGGGGCGGCTCTTTACAGTAGCCAGTGGGGCTCTTACAGTAGCCAGTGCGGCTCTTTACAGTAGCCAGTGCGGCTCTTTACAGTAGCCAGTGCGGCTCTTACAGTAGCCAGTGCGGCTCTTACTGTAGCCAGTGCGGCTCTTTACAGTAGCCAGAACGGCTCTTTACAGTAGCCAGTGAGGCTCTTTACAGTAGCCAGTGCGGCTCTTACAGTAGCCAGTGCGGCTCTTTACAGTAGCCAGTGCGGCTCTTTACAGTAGCCAGTGCGGCTCTTTACAGTAGCCAGTGCGGCTCTTTACAGTAGCCAGTGCGGCTCAACAGTAGCCAGTGCGGCTCTTTACAGTAGCCAGTGCGGCTCTTACAGTAGCAAGCGCGGCTCTGTTTTGTTCACACAATTGATATTGAGACGCGACGTTTCCAAAACAGTTTCAGAGCAAATAATCATGTATATTTATACAAGTGAAAGTTGGTTGGTTTGTTGGTTTGTTACGCAAATGTTTCCATAAGGATTGGTGGATCTTGACCAAACTTGACCCATGTATCCGTCGTTATTCAGCATCAAATAATGTCTTTTTAAAAACTTTTTATAACATCCCATTTTGGGCCGAGCCGGGGGGGGGGGGGGGGAAAAATTCTTTTTTTTTCCTTTATATGAGACACATACATGCAAATAGGTCGTCACCCAAAAATAGTTGCCGACCCCTGGTCTAATTACACTAATTAACTAAATCGTAACCAGGCTTTGTGCCTTTCCGGGGCCCGTCAGTTTATCTCATATGGGCCCCAAATAATAAGAGGGACTACAAGTATACCTACCAAATCTCAAATGCTAAAACAATAAATAGTTTTTTTGGGTTGTTTTTGTTTTTGTTTTTTGGAGTCATTTTCTTTTTCAAATTAAAACATTAGCTGCGTCATAGACTCTCAACCTGGATCATTGATTCTCAACCCAGGTGCTTTCCTGTATTGTAGGCCTATCGTTATAATTTTGTAAAAATTCAGAACAGTATTGAACACTTCCATTGAGGACGATAACACAATGAACTACAAGTATAACACGTGACTGCACTTTTAAAGTGAATTAATTCTGTAATAAATTGAGTTAATTTATCCAGGCGCCCGCCAGGCATGATAATTATGAAGCAAGAGGCTTTAGATAAAGCAAAGTTCATGGCATCGACCTGCGCGGTGGCAAGGGCTTTACTTTAAGAAGCTCGTTGTTGGTTAGTTCATAATAGTTTTTTTTGGTGTGCACTTTTTTGGAACGTACAAGTTGTTTTTCTGGGTGTTTGAAATTGTTAAATTATCTCTGACTAATAAACGACTCATTTATAGGGCCGCAGGGGCGTTGCAAGCGGAGGTGTAGGGGTCGGAGAGCCCCATGTGGCGGTATTTTGGCTACACCGCAAAAAGTTGAAAGATTTCATGTTCAATTTGTATCTTCGGTTCTGTGGTTGTCGTTAGTGAGGGGCGGCAAGGTCAAGGACCACCTGGGGCGTCGCAAACTCCCCATCAAGGCTGACACTGGAATATACTTTCTTTGCTTTATTAAAAAAAACAATTTTCATTTTAAAAAAATTTACTGATATAGGTCCTCAGCAACCCTCAACTACATGGGCTTTACCGCCCTCTAGCCCTTCAATTTGAGATCCATTGCGCTACATACCGCATGCTATCATAGCACTTAGTTCTAATGAAGTAGCTTACAGTTAAATATTTATGATGTAGTAAAAGGGGATGAACTCATCTTGAACAATCAAAACACCAAGACATAAATTATTATTATTATAATTTTTCAAATAATAAAAATACTCTCACAAGAAAAGAGACAATGCCATTTAAACACGATAGAAAAGTCCAAATGTTTGATATAGTGCATATGATAATATAGACTAGTCTAGAAGGATTCTTGTTACGGCAATGGGTGGCCAGAGTAAACAATCCTTTCATTACAGCACTAAATGTTTGGTGTAATAGGACTGTTTACCTGTCAACTGTCGTGTCACGCAGTAGGCATAATTGTAATGAAAGTATTGTTTACCTGTCAACTTTCATGTCATGTAGTGATTTTCATAAGTTCGTCTGTTAACTTTTATATGATAAAGTAGTTGTAAGTAAAAGATTAGGCCGTCATGTTCTGTACGGTCTCATCTTGGCCTATACAGAAAATCGTCATTAGAAAGCATTGGGTTCTTTCAAGATAGCCAGTTGATAAAGCATTGGGTTCTTTCAAGGTAGCTAGTTGATAAAGCATTGGGTTCTTTCAAGGTAGCTAGTTGATAAAGCATTGGGTTCTTTCAAGGTAGCTAGTTGATAAAGCATTGGGTTCTTTCAAGGTAGCTAGTTGATAAAGCATTGGGTTCTTTCAAGGTAGCTAGTTGATAAAGCATTGGGTTCTTTCAAGGTAGCTAGTTGATAAAGCATTGGGTTCTTTCAAGGTAGCTAGTTGATAGACCGATAGGACATCGTCCGGCTTGATCGAGAGATCACAGTAAGTACACAAACACAGCTTTCTTTTAATTAAACACAAGAATATCATCAAGTTGTACAGCGGTTAAAGATACTGGCAGTATTTACTTAACTGAGATTTTACATGATATTTTACATGAGATTTTACATGAGAATTTACATACGATTTTTACATACGATTTTTACATACAATTTTTACATACGATTTTTACATACGATTTTTACATACGATTTTACCTAAAATTTAACATTAGATTTTACATAAGATTATACATAAAATTTTACAGGAGATTTTTCTTAAGGTTTTACATACTATTTTACATGAAATTTTAAATATTTTCGCATGCAAGAACATCCTAATAAATCATTAGATATGTTGATGTTCAACTTCCGCCATTTCAGGCGTCACCGACCAATGAAAACCTCTAAATTAGCGAGGGGTAGCAAAATAAATACAGGGGTACACCGATGTCGAACATTTGGGAACCGCTGACTTAGATCATTCGAATTTCAAAATTTACAATGGCCTTTTAACAAAATAATGACATGATATTTAAAAGAACTTTATTAAATTAATATGACTATTATCACACTAAAGAAATACAACATATATAAATATATATAAACAGAATAAACAGATTTTAATGGGGAAAATTCTATCGCTAGACTGAACTCCTTTTTTTTTTTTAGCTCAGCGGCTCTCAACATGTGGGTCACGACTCCCTTGGGAGTCGAACGACCCTTACACAGGGATCGCGTAAGACCATCGGAGTCTACGTACAAATTATTTACATTTCTATATTTTTGGTTTACATCTCTATATTCCAGGTTTTTTAAAAAACATAATAATCTCAATTGGTTAGAAAGGCCAAATTTGATGCTAGTTGCTCAGCTTGTTGATGATGTATCTCTTCACTAATTTGATTGGATAGTCTTCAAATTCTCTCATCTCATCAGGCGTGGCTGTTGGCAGTTCTGCTTCAAGCCTGTTAACAATCACAACACATACAACGGCAGCTGAAAGATAGAACAAAAAAAAACTGCAACGTTCAAAGCTGTTACAGGAGGACTTTTCAGGCCACAAGTCCCACTGAATTATTATGTTCTTTTGTCGGAGAGGGGGGGTAGGTCTGAGGTGTGTGGGGGGGGGAGTGTTAGAGGCAAACGCAGAAACTTATTAAAGTCTATGTATTGTTTTTGTATATTGTCTTTTAAAAATATCATTTTTACAACCTCCAGCCCTTCATTCACTGTCCCTTGTCCCACCATCCATTGTCCCACCCTCCATTGTCCCACCGTCCATTGTCCCACATCCTTTGTCCCACCGTCCATTGTTCCACCATCCTTTGTCCCACCGTCCATTGTCCCACCATCCTTTGTCCCACAATCCCTTGTACCACCGTCTCTTGTCCCAGTACCCCTTGCCGCATCGCCCCACCGTCTCTTGTCCCAGTGCCCCTTGCCACATTGTCCCACCGTCTCTTGTCCCAGTGCCCCGTGCCAAATTGTCCCACTGTCCCTTGTCCCATTGTCACTTGCCCCCCCCCCCATGTCACTTGTCCTACCGTCCCTTGTCCAAAAATCTCTTGTCCCAGTGCCCCTTGCCGCATTGTCCCACCACATACCCCTTGTCCCGCTGTCCTTGTCCCAGTGTCCCTCGCCCGACTGACCCACTGACCCGCATTCACCCCGCCAGGCTGACAGTTACTTGCCTCTGATCCCAACTTTCCCCGCCATGCCCAAAACACCGGCAGACTCCATCTCAATATTAACGACTCCCAATTCTTGTAGTTTTTGTAGGAATCTCCTCTGGTCTTCCTTCGAGTAGTCGCAAAACGAACCATCTATACGCCCTTGACCTAAAACATGGACACAGTTTCAAGGTTTAAAAGAATAATTAAATTAATTCTTTGAGGAGTACCCCACGTCTGTTTTGTAGAGAGGGCAATCCACAAATAATGCAATATAATGTTCTATAGGATACATTGCTAAACCTTGGGGACATAACACGTTGATTGATTTGTTTCTACCAGGTAGAAACGCCCAACGTCATCCGTTCCGCCGGGTGGAGTTAAGTCCCCCTATGAGTTTTTAAAGCAAATTCTAACACACATTCGCTCTTCTAACAAACATACCGGTCTGCATACCCATTCAAAAAACCCCATCTGTATACCTTTTCACTAACATACCATATGCACACCCCTTCACTAACATACCGTATACATATCCTTTCACTAACATACCATACGCATACCCCTTCACTAACATACCGTATGCATACCCCTTTACTAATATACCATACGCATACCCCTTCACTAACATACCGTAAGCATACCCCTTCACTAACACGCCGTATGCATACCCCTTCACTAACACGCCGTATGCATACCCCTTCACTATAATACCGTATGCATACCCCTTCACTAACCAACCGTTAGCATACACCGTCAATAACATACCTTACGCATACCCCTTCACAAACCGACTCTTTAACAAATCACATCATTATTACATGTACATTTCCATCTAAAACATACCCCCTTTAATAAACGTGCCCTTTACAAAAAAAAAACAAAAACAACAAAGACAAAAACTAACCCCTTTAACAAACATTCTCCTCCCATCCAACATGTCCCCTCCCACAAATACGACTGAAAAAAAAATTTAATTCATGTGCAGGAACTTTTAAAAAAAAAACCAACAACAAAAAAAAAACAAAACACAAATAACTTAATATGATCCAACCTTGGTAAAAGTCTTCAGTGCAGAATGTTTTTCCGGAAATGACGTCAAAGTAATCGTCTGCACTCTTACTGTTGACAAGTTCCTCTCGTAGGTCAGTGTCAGCATCTGTTGGCAGTCTGAGTGGCTCACCCAATGAGGACTGTACAGATGATGATTATATTTGTTAGCTCTACTGTTCATGTTTTTAATCTTTTAATCCTAGCTCTATTTTAAGTGTTTTTCATGTTATAATCCTAGCTCTGACGTACGTCTTTTTCACGTTATAATCCTTGCTCTATTGTACGTGTTTTTCATGTTATAATCTTAGTTCTATTGTACATGTTTTTCATTTTATAATCTTAGTTCTATTTTACATGTTTTTTAACGTTTTAATTATAGCTCTGTTGTACGCCTTTTTCACGTTATAATCCTTGCTCTATTGTACGTGTTTTTCATGTTTATAATCTTAGTTCTATTGTACGTGTTTTTCAAATTATCATCCTAATTCTATTGTACGTGTTTTTCACGTTATATTCCTAGCACTATTGTACGTGTTTTCAAATTATAATCCTAGTTCTATTGTACATGTTTTTCACTTTATAATTATAGCTTTGTTGTACGTCTTTTTCACGTTATAATCCTTTCTCTATTGTACGTCTTTTTCATGTTATAATCCTAGTTCTATTGAACGTGTTTTTCATGTTATATTCCTAGCTCTATTGTACGTCTTTTTCATGTTATAATCCTAGTTCTATTGTACGTGTTTTTCATGTTATATTCCTAGCTCTATTGTACGTGTTTTCAAATTATAACCCTAGTTCTATTGTACGTGTTTTCAAATTATAATCCTAGTTCTATTGTACGTGTTTTTCACGTTATATTCCTTGCTCTATTGTACGTGTTTTCAAATTATAATCCTAGATCTATTGTACGTGTTTTTCACGTTATCATCCTAGCTCTATTGTACGTGTTTTAAAATTATCATCCTAGTTCTATTGTACGTGTTTTTCACGTTATATTCCTAGCTCTATTGTACGTGTTTTCAAATTATAATCCTAGTTCTATTTTACATGTTTTTCATGATATAATCCTAGTTATATTGTACATGTTTTTCATGTTATAATCTTAGTCTATTGTACATGTTTTTCATGTTATAATCCTAGTTCTATTGTAAGTGTTTTTTCACGTTATAATTCTAGCTCTGTTGTACGTCTTTTTAACGTTATAATCCTTGCTCTATTGTACGTGTTTTTCATGTTATAATCTTAGTTCTATTGTACGTGTTTTTCACGTTATATTCCTAGCTCTATTGTACATGTTTTCAAATTATTATCCTAGTTCTATTGTACATGTTTTTCATGTTATAATCCTAGTTCTATTGTACATGTTTTTCATGTTATAATCCTAGATCTAATGTACATGTTTTTCACTTTATAATTCTAGCTCTGTTGTACGTCTTTTTCACGTAATAATCCTTTCTCCATTGTACGTGTTTTTTAAATTATCATCCTAATTCTATTGTACGTGTTTTTCACGTTATATTCCTAGCACTATTGTACGTGTTTTCAAATTATAATCCTAGTTCTATTGTACATCGTTTTTCACTTTATAATTCTAGCTCTGTTGTACGTGTTTTTCACGTTATATTCCTTTCTCTATTGTACGTGTTTTTCATGTTATAATCCTAGTTCTATTGTACGTGTTTTCATGTTATATTCCTAGCTCTATTGTACGTGTTTTTCATGTTATAATCCTAGTTCTATTGTACGTGTTTTTCATGTTATATTCCTATTTCTATTGTACGAGTTTTCAAATGATAATCCTAGTTCTATTGTACGTGTTTTTCATGTTATAATCCTAGCGCTATTGAACGTATTTTCAAATTATAATCCTAGTTCTATTGTACGTGCTTTTCACGTTATATTCCTAGCTCTATTGTACGTGTTTTCAAATTATAATCCTAGTTCTATTGTACGTGTTTTCAAATTATAATCCTAGTTCTATTGTACATGTTTTTTACGTTATATTCCTAGCTCTATTGTACGTGTTTTCAAATTATAATCCTAGTTCTATTGTATGTGTTTTTCACGTTATATTCCTAGCTCTATTGTACGTGTTTTCAAATTATAATACTAGTTCTATTGTACATGTTTTTCACGTTATATTCCTAGCTCTATTGAACGTGTTTTCAAATTATAATCCTAGGTCTATTGTACATGTTTTTTACGTTATATTCCTAGCTCTATTGTACGTGTTTTCAAATTATAATCCTAGTTCTATTGTATGTGTTTTTCACGTTATATTCCTAGCTCTATTGTACGTGTTTTCAAATTATAATACTAGTTCTTTTGTACGTGTTTTTCACGTTATATTCCTAGCTCTATTGAACGTGTTTTCAAATTATAATCCTAGGTCTATTGTACATGTTTTTCACTTTATAATTCTAGCTCTGTTGTACGTCTTTTTCACGTTATAATCCTTTCTCTATTGTACGTGTTTTTCATGTTATAATCCTAGTTCTATTGTACGTGTTTTCAAATTATAATCCTAGTTCTAATGTACGTGTTTTCAAATTATAATCCTAGTTCTATTGTACATGTTTTTCACGTTATATTCCTAGCTCTATTGTACGTGTTTTCAAATTATAATCCTAGTTCTATTGTACGTGTTTTTCACGTTATATTCCTAGCTCTATTGTACGTGTTTTCAAATTATAATTCTAGTTCTATTGTACGTGTTTTTCACGTTATAATCCTTGCTCTATTGTACGTCTTTTTCACGTTATAATCCTAGCTCTATTGTACGTGCTTTTCACGTATAATCCTTGCTCTATTGTACGTGTTTTTCATGTTATAATTCTCTACGTTCTTGATGAACTTTGCGTGGCCATCGAGGAAAAAAGGCGTTGACGTCATCAACTTTCATTTTCAAGAATTTATTTACTCGGTTTTTAACAATCGAAGCTCCCTGAACAGTGAAGGCCAATGACTAAGTTTTTATTTACCCGATTCAAGTTTTTCAAAAAAACCAATTCTATCAATTGAATAGCACGTTTTAAAATAAACGACAATATAAAGTATACTAAATGAAGGACTGCGTTCAAGCTGTGCGAAAGGAAATAAGTGAACAAGGTATGTAGGAACTTGGGGTAGAGCTGCCAGCCGAATTTTTTTTTTAAATTTCGGCTGGCTGACATAATTTTTTGGCTGATATCCGGATTAGCCAGATTTCTCCGTAAATTGACATTTGCGGCTGATTTTCGTCTGATTACGAAATATCCGGCTAAAATTCGGCTGAAGCCTGCCCAATAATGAAGTGATAAAACACTTGTACAATACTTCAGAAAAAAGTTTTATTATTTAAAACAATAGAAAATAACAACAGTTTTCTATGCTGTCCTACTAATATAGTGCATGAATGCATTCCATTCATTCAGTTTCTGTCACTCAATACCTGATACCTTAAAACGGAACGCAATGAAATTTAAGATAGCAAAAACATTACGTTACGGCGACTCGTTCATTTTCGGCGGATTTACTGCGGACGAAATACGGCGGCTGATGGGGCGGCTAATGCGGCGCGCCGCATAATTTTCTAGCGGATTTTTGGCGGACGAAAATTCGGCGGCATATTCGGCGCGCGGCGTAGTCTGAGGGGTCTAGTTTGGGGTGACAAATCTGGACAATAAATAGACAACACTCGTGGCTGAACGCCTTCACCAGCAGACGAGACAAAACAAGAAACAACAAAGAACTAGAAATGCCCCCCAAAAAATGAAGTGTTGGTAACACAGCGAACTACCGACATTTAAGTTTTTAACGCATTTCTTTTTTAATTATTGTTTTGTCCCTTCTGCTGAAGAAGGTTTTCAATTCAGTCCAAATGTCGTCTGTTATTTCACGTCAAGGTACAACATTTCTTGTTTAACTCTTTCCTAACCCCACCCCCCCAAAAAACAACAACAACAATCCCCCCCCCCAAAAAAAAAAAAAAAAAACGAACAAAAAAACAACAACGTTTTATTAGCTTTACTGTGACCATAATTTCATGCATTTACTCAAATACAAGTCTATACCCTCTTAGTAAATGGTATTTGAATTATTTTAGGAACTTTGGCCATTGAAGTGCATGGTGGCCATATGTGGCGAATGTAATTAAAAAAACAAACAGCAACTATTGACTATCGCAAGATCTAACATCTCATCTAACGAAGACCTTAATGGATGTCTTACTTACTGTGACGTATACTGGCTCGAAACCAGGAGTGATCGCGCCGGTTGACACGACAACCGTTCCATGTCTTACACCTGGAATAAACAAGTTCTTTGTTGTAAGCGTAGGTGTTGAATTATAATTTTCTTGGTTGACGTCGAATACAATATACATCTTGACCAATGAGAATTCACAAACAGCTTGACCAATGAGAATTCAAAAAAACAAATTGACCAATGGTAACGCGCATTCGCATTTACAAATCAGATTTAACAATTTACCCAATGAGAACTCACAAACCAACTGACCAATCATAATTAACAAACAGATTGAACAATGATAAGTCCCATGCCACCAGCACAATGAGAGTGACCTTTCTGATCAAGATAATATAAGATAAGATAAGATATCACCATTTTTGTAACGTGTGGCAACGCCAGACCATGGGCATAACAGCATACATTTATAACACTGGCTACATGTGTAACACGGGCTACATGTTAGACATGGATATCATGTGCATCATGGGGATTATCTCACACTCCGATTACATCTGCTGCCCGAGCTACATATCTTCTACTATTAAATGCAGGGGACTACAAAAGAATAATCATTTTATTTCAAATAATTAGAGTCGGTAGAATTTAAAGGGTAATCTCATCATCATTTTACTGCGTTTAAAGCCAGGGGTCGGGCTTCGTGGGGGCGGGGGGCTCTGTGGGGGTGGGCTGTGTGGGGGGTGGGCTCTGTGGGGGTGGATTGTGCAACAATTGTGGGGCACAAATCCATGATAAAATTATCTCATCATTTCACTAAAGAACCCAAAATCTGTCCAAAATTACAATATCAACTCAAGAGCATACACATAATTAATATGACGACATAGTCGTCCGCCTAACGCCTTCAAAATTCTGACAATACAATGATTACGCGTACCAATTTTGGAAGGAACATTAAAAAACTCAGAGACATTATAAGACTGACAGAAATATCTGCAATGCAATCAAAACAGATTTCAATTTTTTTGGATAAATAAAATCATAAAATCTTATCTAAACGTATCTTATCTTATAATCTTATCGTATCTTATTTGATCCCATAATACGGAATATTTAAAAGGTTTAAGGTGAACGTTTTTTTTTTTTCATGGTCTAAATGTAACATGAAGCAAGATATTGGTTCTTTTCAAAGTCTTTTGACAGTAATTTGAGACTACACATGTAATGATGATGTCATCTGACAAACATTTTAACGTGAAATCGTCATTTTATTTCACAAGTTTTGTTTTTCTGACATAGCTGAATTTAGTTGAGGCTAAAAAGTTATTTCTCCTCACAATCAAACTAGTGCCCATAAGGAAAGTGTGTTCTGTAACTAGATCTTTTTTTTTTTTACACATTTCATTTACGAACTAAACCTTTCGAGTCTGCGTACATATTTTACCACCATGTGTCACCACACACCTTTTTTGTGCATTGTGTACAGTCCATACTGCACTGAGCATTTGAATTTTTCTATCTCTTTAAAAATGCAATTAAATGTTAATTTTTTTCCATGCTTACGATACACCGCTACTGATTCCTCTCACCTCTGCCATTTCAAAATCACCTTTGACTTCGCTGACTGGATAAAATGGAGTCACGATTAGGTTGTGGCCCGCGAGCCGTTCTTTGAGGACTCTTGCTTTAACCCATTCATTTAGTTAATATGTAGATTCTATACATTTATCCCAAACACTGTGAATGTTTCAAATACTGAGACTTCTTGTGCATATTTAATTAGGAATTTCAACTTTCTACCCGTACTTACAATAGTCAACGACCTACCTGCACGTCCGTACATCAACTTCCTGCACTCACTTCCAAAAATCAACTTTTTTACATCCACAACCTAAAGTCAACTTCTTACCTGTACTTTCACAAATCAACTTCCTACCTGCACTTCCATAAATCAAATTCCTACCTACACTTCCATAAATCAACTTCCTACCTGCACGCCCATAAATCAACTTATTACTTGGACTTTCGCAAATCAACTTCCTACTGGCACATCCACAAATCAACTTCCTACGCCACCCCCCTCTCCCCCAACACTTCAAAAAATCAACGTCTTACCAACACCTCCACAGGTTCCAATACGAATCAGCCTGACGTCTGTGCACTCTGCTCTGTACAACAATTTGAAGACTTCGTGCAGCATCACAGACAAAGATGGCGTGCCTATACCGTGCTGAAAACGAGACAAGTGCTTTCAACCATTTAATCGTATGTGTGCCTTTCAACGTTTGCTGTTAATCTACTCATAATAAAAAAAGTGACGTTCTAAGAAATCAGTAGTTTTGATCTAAATTCGCGAGGCTACTCTTGTCTTGATCCTTTAAAACAAGACATATATTTTCCAAAAAGCCGAACTAGGTCAGGCATCTGTAACGTAAGAGAACAAAATGGCGGCATCAATGAAAGAGGAGAGTGACACCAACTAAAACATAAATATTGACAGTCCTTGACATTTTACTCCGTTCAAAAATTTATATCGTCATCCTTGATGTTTTCGAACAAAAATAACCTTATCTTACATTTAAAAAAAAAAAATTGAAATAAATTGTCAAACGACTTTAAGGTCACCACCAGCCTTGACCCTGGGTGTGACCCCGGAAAGACTTACCGACACACACAAAACAGGCCCCACTTTGAACCAGCCGTAACGCTGATTGACGAAGGAATCCTCCAGGTCGGTCCCGCCCCTTAGACTTTCGTTCAGCTGTTTGGCCAGTTCTTCCATGCGACCAACTGTTCCACCCACACAGACAAACTGAAGGCAAAGTGACAAAGTACAGTAGCTTTAAACTATACAAACTTGTGCCAAAATACAGTAGCTTTCCACAATAAAAACTGAAGGCAAAGTACAGCAGTTTTACATCCTACAAACTTAAGACAAAGTACAGTAGATTTAAATTATACAAACTTATGCCAAAATACAGTAGCTTTCCATAATACAAACTAAAGACAAAGTACAAATGGCTTTACACCACATAAACTAAAGGCAAAGTACAGCAGTTTTACATCATACAAACTTAAAACAAAGTACAGTAGATTTAAATTATACAAAACTTATGCCAAAAGACAGTAGCTTTCCATAATACAAACTAAAGACAAAGTACAATAGCTTTACAACACATAAACTAAAGGCAAAGTACAGCAGCTTTACATCATACAAACTTACGACAAAATACAGTAGCTTTACATTATTCAAGCTGAAGGTCAGTACCATAAATTTACATCATAAAAACTATAAACAAAATACAGGAGATTAAGAGGAGTAGCGTAACATCATACAAACAGTAAGCAAAGTAACCTGACATCATAAAGATAGTAAACAAAGTAGCATAACATCATACAAACTGTGAGTCAAGTTGCCTGACATCATATAAACAGTACGCAAAGTAATTTATAAATGAACGACACTTTGACAATTTGGGAATTCACTTCAGTGCTGACGACATCCTTGTGTACATGTGAACGGGAGGCCACCATCTCCGGCAGAACACCCTGCCACCATGGGACAGTTTGGTGACAAGAGGGAGACCACAGCGTTGGCTTATCAGTGTGAAAACATACCTTTATCCAGATCATGCCTCCAAAACATACGGCCCGCCAGCACCCATTTTGCGGCCCGCGAAGTAACTATTTTTCTTTATTATTATTATTATTTTCCTTAATACCCTCCCCCCCACCCCCCCCCCCTTTCCTCCCCGGTCCTATTTTCTTTTGGCCCGCACAAGTTTTTCAAAAAAGTAATACAACCCGTGCCCGCCAGCACCCATTTTGCGGCCCGCGAAGTAACTATTTTTCTTTATTATTATTTTTATTTTCCTTAATACCCCCCCCCCCACCCCCCCCCCCTTTCCTCCCCGGTCCTATTTTCTTTTGGCCCGCACAAGTTTTTCAAAAAAGTAATACAACCCGACTTACATTTTGAGTTATGCTGGCCCGATCCAGAACATCAAAGCTTTGTGTAATAATGAGGATAGGATACATATAAATTAAGTAACTGCATTTCTCACCATGGATAAATTCAGTGTCAAATTTATTTTTACGTCTCCCTCTACGTGCCAGCATTTACATTACTTTCGTTCTACATAGGCTATATACATGTTCTACATATCTACATACACTTTATACATGTTCTACATATCTACATAGACTATATACATGTTTTACATAGACTACATACATGTTCTACATATCTACATATACTAAATACATGTTTTACATAGACTACATACATGTTATACATATCTGCATAGATTACATACATGTTCTACATAGACTACATACATGTTATACATAGACTACATACATGTTATACATGTCTGCATAGACTAAATACATGTTTTACATAGACTACATACATGTTCTACATAGACTACACACGTTCTACATAGAATATATACATTTTCTACATAGACTACACACATGGGCGCCCGCATGTAGGGGCAAGGGGGGCACTCCCCCCCCCCCCTGGATTGATTGGATACATTTTTTTAGACAAAAATAGATAAAAAATGTATTTAAGTATAGAGAAAATAAAGAGAAAGTACTACATACATGTTCTACATAGACTACACACGTTCTACATAGAAAATATACATTTTCTACATAGACTACACACATGGGCGCCCGCATGTAGGGGCAAGGGGGGCACTCCCCCCCCCCCTGGATTGATTGGATACATTTTTTTAGACAAAAATAGATAAAAAATGTATTTAAGTATAGAGAAAATAAAGAGAAAGTAACTAAGCTGATGTAATGTCCATTCGTTCACCATACAAATACGCTACAGTAAATTAAAACTATATTAAAACATTACTAAACATTTTTTGCCCCTCCCCCTGGAAAGTTAATCGATTTTTTTTGCACCCCACCCCCCCTAGAAAGTTTTCTGCGGGCGCCCATGACTACACACATGTTCTACATAGACTACATAAATGTTCTACATAGACTCAAGGTTAAACGTAAAAGCCCAAAATAAATCAATTATTCCCGGACAGTCAAATCGTGATAGATTAAAATGACTTAAGCAAATGGACGGATCTGAATGTCACAACGACCTAAGAAATAAAGATAGGCACTTAAAAGTAGGTCATGAATGTCTCACTACAAGAAAAAACAATATACAATTCATATCAAATGTGAATAGATGTTATAGTTGGATTGTGAAATCAAATTAGAAATCAAGGTCACTTCGTAGGTCATTTCGTAGATCACTCCATAGATCACTCCATAGGTCACTCCATTAAGTCACTCCATAGGTCACTCTATAGGTCACTTCGTATGTCACTTCGTAGGTCACTTCGTAGATCACTTCGTAGGACACTCCATAGGTCATTCCATAGGTCGCTCCATAGGTCACTTTGTAGGTCACTCCATAGGTCACTCCGTAGGTCACTGCATAAGTCACTCCATAGGTCACTTTGTAGGTCACTTCGTAACTTTTTTTTTTTCCACAGCGCGTCCTGACCATGCTTGACTCCACATTGATTAATCTAAATTGAAGTTGTGTTCTATTTTTAGATCAGTTCGCGCGCTGAATCATAAAACGTTTCTAAAGTTATTTGGGTTAAGGATATCGGAACAAGTGAGCTATAAACAAAAACTCGATTAATGCCATTGGATTATAACGGTTTACACAAATAATGTACCCAATAAAGTTTGAGGTCGATAACGTAAATAAATAGTCCTGGTTTGGGGCAGGGTGTAAAAGGGGGTGGGGGGCAGGGGAGGACACAGTGGCGTACTTTTCCCTTTGGAGTCGGGACGACAGTTGAACTGTCTTTGGACATCCTCAGTTTTAGTCACAGACACAGTGACGTCACCCAACTCTCACATCCGCGCCTCGTCCTCTCCTTTTGTTTAGTTCAAATTTTCCTCTCAAATCCTCACCCCACTAGTCACCTTCGTACACTGCCTCTCCTCCTCTGCTCCTTTCTCCTCCTCTTAAATCCATCTGCCCAATCCTCTTACTCCTTTCTTCTCATTCCTCCTCTGTCTCATCCTCTGAATCTCCTTGTCTCTGCTCATCCGTCTTGTCTAGCTGGTCCTCGTCTCATAACTCCTCTATCCTCCTCTCTTGCTTACTCTGTTCCTCTTCTCACTGATCCTCTCCTTCTGACTTCTTGACGTTCTTGGGTGAATCCAAAAATACCGTTAAATAAATAACTGACAGGTACACGCCTCCTCAGGTCATCTAGAGTTCAAACTTCCGGCCTCTTGATATGCCTTGTCGGCCAAGTGGCCATTAATTTAAAACCACCGCACCCAGTCGGTACTGGGACGTTTGAGAAACTTATGTTTTAATCTCTCGTGCCCTAACACAGAGATCTCCTGAACATTATGCTGTAGTTCATTGTCGACTGCCATGTAGGCGCACGTGAGGAAGGAACGGGATATATTTATAACAATTATATTTTAGTTATGGCTATATATAAATTCAACAGTGCAACAGCCTGACCAATCGACAAGGACTGCAACTACAACAGTGCAACAGCCTGACCAATCGACAAGGACTGCAACTACAACAGTGCAACAGCCTGACCAATCGACAAGGACTGCAACTGCAACAGTGCAACAGCCTGACCAATCGACAAGGACTGCAACTACAACAGTGCAACAGCCTGACCAATCGACAAGGACTGCAACTGCAACAGTGCAACAGCCTGACCAATCGACAAGGACTGCAACTGCAACAGTGCAACAGCCTGACCAATCGACAAGGACTGCAACTGCAACAGTGCAACAGCCTGACCAATCGACAAGGACTGCAACTACAACAGTGCAACAACCTGACCAATCGACAAGGACTGCAACTACAACAGTGCAACAGCCTGACCAATCGACAAGGACTGCAACTACAACAGTGCAACAGCCTGACCAATCGACAAGGACTGCAACTACAACAGTGCCCATGCCGCCACCCCCCTCCTTTTTCAAATGCAAATACATTTATTACCCCAGCAAATAAGTGGGAACCATTGCTTTAGGTCGACCTACCTTTATGTCATTGAACAAGTGCCATTTTTCTCGGGGTATCTCAAGATGCATGAGATAGTCACCATCTTCATCATCCAGGTGGGGATTAGGCAGTTGAACCCTTCCAGCACTGTGGGCAGAGGAGTAAAAGGGGCATGTTAACTGCATCAGTCAAAAGGTCAAATACGTGCACATGATCTGTCCGAAGGTTAACGCTGTGAACTGGATCTGTTCTTATGTCAAGTATGTACCCTTGATAAGTCTCAAGGCTGAGTACATACATTGGTTTAGTCGTAAGGTCAAATACTTGCACTGGATATGTCCTAATGCCTAATACTTTCACTGGATATGTCCTAATATCTAATAATTGCTCTGGAAATGCCCTAACGTCTAATACTTGCACTGGATATGCCCTAATGTCTAATACTTGGACTGGATCTATCCTAATGTATAATACTTGAACTGGATATGTCCTAACGTCTAATACTTGCACTAGATAGGCCCTAATGTCTAATACTTGCACTGTATATGTCATAACGTCTAATACTTGCACTGGATAGGCCATACTGTCTAATACTTGAACTGGGTCAGTCCTGAAGTCAAATACGTGATTTCAGTGACATCCTACTGCCAAATGTGATTTTGATTTAGTTTTACAAAATTGACAATAAAACTGATCGCTAATCGATTTTTACTCGGAACGTTTTGAATACCTCATTAAACAGCTTCGTATGTAGTCAAGTAAACCGCCAGTCTATTGACCGACTATTGAAATGTCCTTCCATAGTATTGACTGGCTAACTCTGCAGTCTTTACGAATGAACGTTTGGACAATGACACTGTCTGATCACCAGAAGGGTAACGGAGGCAACTAAGGTAATTGAGGTAACCGAGACAACGTGATGTAATGGGAGTCGCTTAGTCACTTCCTTGTTTGGTCACGTGATGTGAGTAAGCCATCACTAGGCTGCTACACACAACACAAGATACTTCATCAGTGCTTCCCCAATGTCATGTTACTTAAACATTTTACCTTTCGAAATATTCTGGAATACATGCGTTTTTTAAATGAAATACATACATGTGACAATAAATATACGTCAGTAATGATTAAAGGAAGAAAGTTATTTCAAGAAAAATTTGTGAGCGATATTCGATGGGAACTATCAATACTATTATCGGCAGGATGTTGGTGAGCTCCGTGCGTGCTCATGACGTCATTTGCGTTTTTATTCAATATTGATGCAGGAGTCATTCCCCTTTGTTTATTTTATTGTTAATTTTCATTGGACGAAATGTAGTGTAGTTGTAGTGTGTATCGGTCTACTGTTGTCAAGCACTAATGTGTTGTATACAGCATACCGGAAATCTTACTCGTTTTTACTCACATCACGTGACAAAATAATTGACTAAGCGACTCCCATTAAGATAATAGCCGGAAATTCGTAAGAAAGAAATTTGTATGAAGGGGTACAGGTTGGGTGGTGGTAGTGTGTTCGAACGGAAATCGGTTCGACGGACGTTTGCTTGAATAGAAATTAGTTAGGACAGAAGTTTGTTCAAAGCAAAATACCGTTTAAAAAAAATAAATAAATAGATAAATAAATCTCCGTTTAGTAAATTTAATTTCAATCAAATTTGCCCTCGAAAACAAAGTCATTTCGAACAAGTTTTCATTTAAAATAATTTCCGTTCAAAGGAACTGCTGTCAACTAACTTCCGTCAAACAAACGACAAACAAACTTCCACCAAACAAACAAACTTCCGTCAAACTAACTTCCGTTCAAACAAACCTCCGTTCAAACAAACTTCCGTTCAAACAAATTTCCGTTCAAACAAACTTCCGTTCAAACAAACTTCCGTCAAACAAACTTCCGTTCAAACAAACTTCCGTTCAAACAAACTTCCGTTCAAATAAACTTCCGTCAAACAAACTTCCGTCAAACAAACTTCCGTCAAACAAACTTCCGTCAAACTATGTTCCATCGAATACATTTATTTTGTTAAGATTTCCGATAAACCTATCATATCGCCTATTCAGCTGTGTTCCCCAAACTCTTCTATACCCTGAACTCTCGAACCCACTACATAAGAAACAAGACATTCTAAAACTTTGAAAAGAATTAACTTCAACTGTTTTAAAATTGCGCTACGAAGAGAACCGTAGAGATTAGAACAATAAGATTTTGACTTGTCGGCAACATCTCAATGAAAGAGTTTTAAAACTACATAGTCGTGGATGTGCCTCGTTACATAGCTGGAGATGGTGACGTCGCATGGTGCTCCCCCCAGACAATCTTTTCTTAAGGTACCTAGAAGCATGGGCGCCCGCAGGTAGGGGCAAGGGGAGCACTTGCCCCCCCCCCTGGATTGATTGGATAAAAAAATTTAAGACAAAAATGGACAAAAAATGTTTTAAAGTAAAGAGAAAATAAAGAGAAAGTAACTAAGCTGATGTCCTGTCCGTTCGTTCACCATACAAATACGCTACAGTAAATTAAAACTATATTAAAACATTACTGAAAATTCCCCCCCCCCCTGGAAAGTTAATCGATTTTTTTTGCCTTCCCCTAGAAAGTTTTCTGCGGGCGCCCATGCCTAGAAGACAGCATATATACATACTGTACACACTAAAAGACTTACCACATCCTTGGTCTCTCGGCAGTGAGGCTGAAGTTATCACAATGAACACTTTCAAGACGAAATGAAAACCAACAAAAACAAAATAAAAAGTACCGTATTAAAAAAATGTTTGAATTAAAATTATTTATTTACCTTGCATATTTTATTTAGTTATTCTTTTTCTTATTATAAATTTAAAAAAAATAAACGAAAGAAGTTAAAGAAAAATGCGTGATTTTTCTACCAGAGGCAAGGACCTTGACCTACTCATATTTTAACTGGCTGCTGATTGAAACCCAGCAAAGGACAATGTTAATAAGATTTAAACCCAAAAGTTGAGCCCGCACTTATGATTAATGATGATATAATTTACAAGAAATCGGTTACGAGATTAATAAAACAAGCCAACAGAAAAGCAGAAAGAGAGAGAGAGAGAGAGAGAGAGAGAGAGAGAGAGAGAGAGAGAGAGAGAGAGAGAGAGACCTTGCTAAAATCACTACCGAAATAAGCAGAGACTTCCCTTTTATAGACTCATAGAGGCGAGTTACTACCAAATCAGTTCGTTGGGGGGAGGGGGGGGGGGGCGTGTGTTTTT